GGAGAATATACTAATTTTTATTTTAAAAATGTAAAAAACTAGTCACATTTATGTTTTATTTAATTACAAGTCATTTGACTATTTCAATAATCAAACAATTGATGTACATATGTATGTAAATTTTGTGAAATATGTTAACACTTCTTTAAAGTGATAAATATATTTTATGAAACGTATGACACAATTCAGTTACCTAGGGTATCTAAAACAATTAATATCTCAGTCACCACCCAAGACTGAATAAAATATTATTTAATATTAAAATTTTTAATTTATGTTTTTTTGGGGCAAAACTTAAGGCAATTAATTTATACTCCAAAGAACTCAAAGCAAACTAAGTCTAGAATTTCTCATCTGTCGTTCTTGTAGTCACGTGTTATTCTTGGAAATTTACTCTTATCTCGGTATTACATTTAATAAAATGGAAAGAAAATTTACAGAATTATATATTCATTGGTATTAGATATGTTGCGAGGAACATGAATCTTTTATAAGTTGTCACTGACAAATAGCCCGCCACTTGGAGGAGGGATTGAAATATCTTCACAGAGGAATTTCAATTATCAAAGATCAGCTACTAGAGAAATGGTCATTGGATCTACTGGTGCCAGATGGCATTTTCTATTTAGAAAGTTGATAGCCAACACTTATATATTAAAACAGTAAAACTAATTAAAATAGCGTAAACAAAATATATAATGGATTATATTTTATAGATATAAATAAAAATAAAATAAATGAAATTTGAATAGATTATGATTTAATTCCCTAAGAAAATTTATATTCCTGTCTACACATCCTCTTAAAAGTCTATCTAAACTCAACCAAAACATCAGAACCCTGAGACACACAACAATAGTGATAGTAAATTTAATGAATTTAGTATGATCTTTTTAAATTTAAAAAAAGCCTTTCTTTGGGGTTATACGTAATCGTTGACCTCTTTAAATACATCTTATGATATTAAAGAAAAGGAAAGGGTAACACTATGAATAATATATTAGCAAAGTGAGTATTACCTTTGTTACAGAAAGTATCAAATATAACAAACACATTATTGCGTTATAAGTTCAGACTACAGTGAAATATTAAAATTTAAGTAAAAGTAAAGTAAAATTTAGAACGTTTTAAATAATTTTTTTTAATACAACAACAGACCAGATAATGTTTTAAAACATCCGGAGAGACATTTTGTTTGTAAGGCGTCCTTAAAATATAAAACTGTTTTAAATAAAAATATAAACTTATAAACAACAATAATTCATTTTTATTATCTTGAAGTATCTAATAAAAATACATAAGTTATAATGCAATTTTATTGTTATAAAGTAAACAAGTGCAACGCACTTTAAGGGCAGTCATGTTATGTCACTTATACAAGAGGTGCTGTTTGAATATAATTCAATGAAAGTGCTGATTATTCGATTTGAATTAGTATATCTACGAGTAAATTAATTTCAGAAAAGTAAATAGTGAAACTAAAAATATTACAGAAGTTAAGCTGTGTGTATTTTTTTCGTAACGCCTATCCATATTCCGAGCGAAGTAAGAGCCAAGCAAAAGCTGTTTGCTTAGCCAAATAATAAGTTGATAAAAAGTCGACTAATATTGCCTGATCGTGGCATTAACTTTATAGTATGTGAAGAGTACGACATAATATATCATTTTATAAGTGTATCTCCGCTCGTCACACTCTAAAGAAATACTTCAGAAAAATTTAAATGTTATATAAAGGGTGACTGGTGAATTACTATCAATATTTAAGGAGAATACTCGGTACATGATTCTCATTCGAATTATGTAAAAAAATAGGTACTTAATTTTTGACCAAATTTCCGTACAAATAAATAAAGCGTGGATACGTTCCAAGTGTTCCAAGTGTGGACGCGTGTGGCGGCGTGCTGATACAACACTACGCCGCCACACGCGTATGTGTGTGTGTGTGTATACCTAATCTGTAGGGTGTTCACACGATGCGTAATAAATTACATAACTTTTGGTTAACTTTACTTAGAAGTTTATTAATATTTATGTTATATTAATTTTTATTTTGTCATATATGATCGTCAAATATCACGTCCTCAAGTATCGATAGTAATTCACCAGTCACCCTGTATTATTATGGCCATGAAAAAAATACAGTTACATTATTTTAATGTTTCTAAGGAATTCCAAATAAACACAAACCAGATATTAAAATACAATATATATATATATATATATATATATATATATATATATATATATATATATATATATATATATATATATATATATATATGTTTATAACATGTAGTATACTTTAGTCATACTAAATTTGAAGGAATATATTTTATTAAAGAACCTATTCAATCTTAAAGTTTCTATTTACAGTGTGTTGTATTTTATTCCAAAACTACATGAAAATAAACCGCTATAAAATAAATGTGAGTATTTGAAAGAACGTATTAATAACATATTCCCTAATTCCAGTGCACGTTATTGTGTATATATGTTACGTAATGTACCTCAAACCACATTTGTCCTTAATGTTTCCTTCATCTAAAAGGTAACCCGAAAAGAATCTATAAAAATCTGATTCTATATACTTTTACTGGATAATAAAGCGTATGTTTTATTCTGTTGTAATCCACCAAGTGATGTATGTGTGAAATTGCAAGGAGTTCTTTACAAAACGGAGTCCTAGCTCCAATTTGAAAAGAAAAAGGATAATATTAGGTCAAAATAAGAGTTTTTGATTGCTAAAATACGTAACTGTTATTGTATTAACAAGGTGTCAATTGTTGGCGATTATGTTTGATTATATGGGAAATTCTGCTTTACAAATATGAATAATCAAAAAAAAGTAATCGGCTCATGCACTAGTAAAATTACTAAAATAAATGAATTGTGTATTTGAAATATACCTTTTTATAATCCGTGAATATTCTTGTGACAGCAATAATAATGACGTTTCTTTAGCCTCGTTTATCAAGCAGGCAGATGTCATGAGACTTCTTGGTCTCTGGGAATGAATTCAAACTATCAAACAGTAATCACACATATTACCTAGAAACTATTAAATATGGTTCAATGAACAAGGCTAACAGAAAAATGTTTGACGCTTTAACAAATGGTTGACGTAAAATTCATTTACGAACAGTCTGACTTCTCTTGTACCTAAGTTTTGTCTTCATATATCTTTATACACTTCTATCTTAAGGAATGCTATAAACCTCATGTTTTGTACCATACAGCATTATAAAGTTAGAGCACCTTTAATTATAGAGTTCCGATTCAAATTGTATTCCCGTTTACAGAAAAAAAATTACTTTCATTCATTTAAAAATAAAAATATATTAATATCAATTTCAGCGATCATGAGTAATAGTGGTTGCAAACAACCCATTGTTACAGAATTGGGTTTCGATAATGTCATCACTTTTGTTTTCGGAAATATTGCCTCTATTATTAAAGCTTATTTTTTAAAACAACCGAAAAATCTCTTTCCAATATAGAGATAAAACAAATTTAAGAGCTGATTAATGTTATAATGTATTATTTTATATTTTTTGGAAAAACTCTTATCTTTAATATCACTATTAATATTATTTCACTACACGTGTTAAGTTTCGGATAAAATAGCGTTAAAACTTAAGTTTTAATTACACCGACTTTCGGGTATCTTACTAAAACCATTCCATACCTATGTGATCTTAATTGTGATATTTGATTAGCGTTTAATCATTGTCTTTGATATTAATACGTTTTAGGTATTTTAATAAAACAATTACATTTCTTTATCACAATTATATAAATATGGATTCAGTTTTATCACATTTTATTTTTTAACAGTCATTATTCTAAGAAGTGAAATGTTACTAGCTATACTCCAGCCACATTAGATCTGGAATTTTAGTAAACAAACCATAAGTCATCATAATTAGGGTTGATACACTTTTAATAAAAAACAATAGTTATTATAAGGACAACTTTATTCATTATAACACAATTTTCAGTTTAAACACAAAAATTTTAATTTAATATAGAATCCAAAAAAATTATTTAGCCGGTCGATACATAATTTATATGAAAATTACCTTAAAATAAAAGTTTAAAAATCTTTAATTACGACTATAAAATTACTACAAAACTAACAACCCCATATTTTAATACTGACGTAAAGAATCGCGGGTTTGTAATATTTGGAGTGTTTTTTAAGCAATTGGCAAATATACACAAATTTTAATCTAAATGAGTCCTTTCGTTTGGGAGGCGATAGAGTTAATAAAGCGAATTATATATATAACTACGAGGTAATTTCTGATATCATTTTAAAGTGGAGGTATTATTTTTGAGATCTACATTATTCCAGATGATCATAACTATTATAATTATAACCAAGAATGCGCTTAGTCCCTTGTTTTAAATATTTTATTATTAATCAATTAAAATTTTTATTAACATCAAAAATAATTGTTGTACATATTTCTAATAATGTTTTGAGCATCTGCCTGACGTTGGTTGCTAAGCAACGCTTTGTTATTAAACATTCCACATTGAATTTGGCTGGAGTATAGTTCATAGTACAAAAGAAGAAATAATACTTACAAAGTATAAGCCCTCGTTTATTACACACTTGATTAGTTTTTTTTGTTTCGAATTGTCTATTGCTGTTAGCTCTAACGGCTTTGACAGCATCACCTAGAACTTGATTAGGTGTTCACCGAACAAACCAAGCTAATCAACAAACTGTTTCATTAAGCACATTATAATACTTGTCAGTTGTTTTTAAAAACTACCCTCTTATCGCTTTACAAATCACAGATTAATATTAACAACTGTCGACGATTTTACCACTAAAATTCTTACAGTATTTAACACATATATGTTACCTCTATTGCATTATCTCAGGCAAAATAATACTGATTTAAATATAGTTTTAATTACGTAATACTTTTAAGGAAAATATTTATGTAATCATGAAGATGGTAAGGGCATCTTAAACTAAGTAAGTTAACTTAGACGCCAGGTCCCTCGCTGATGTGTACTGGCACTGCGACCGGCTGTGCGCAGAGGGCAGACACCCTCCACCAGACGCCGTGCGTCAGATGAGAAACCTGGCCAAGGATAGGGCGATCAACTTGTGGACTGACCAACTCAGGCAGCCCCGAGTCAGCGTCGCACTGGTGACGGCCATCCGCCCGCTCCTGCGGGAATGGGTGCACAGAAGACACGGCGCGCTCTCCTTCCGACTCACTCAGGTCCTGACGGGGCATGGCTGTTTCGGCAGGTACCTGTGTGATGTCGTGGGAAAAGAAGACACTACGCGATGCCACCAGTGCGGCGACGAAAGGGACACGGCCGAACATACCATCTCAGCCTGTCCTCACTGGACGCGACAACGTGCGGCTCTACGAGCCGCCATCGGATTGGACACCTCGCTGCCAGCGGTCATCAAGGCCATGCTGCGCAGCGACTCGGACTGGACTGCGGTCACCACCTTCGCCGAGGAGGTGATGACTGCGAAGGAGGAAGACGAGCGCGGCAGAGAGAGGGAGGCGCTCGAAACCTCAAGACGAAGACGGAGGCGACGACGTACGGCCACCAACACCCTTGGTTAGTAAGTTAGTTAACTTACTCAGCTCTTGTTAATTTATCTTACCAATTTAACTATTTCATTTTACCAAACAGCCTATGATTTTCTTCAAAATAATAATATAATACCATCATTATACTACCTAAAGAGCGACAATAATACCTCAACTTTTTTTTGACTTTACTTAAAAAGAGTTAAAGTTATTCACGCTATGATAAGAAGAATCAGAAAATATTTTATAAATAACTAATAATCATACTTTAAATGTTAAATACATTTAAAGTTTCATATAAACTTATTAAATTATTTATGTATATATTCAGTCCGAGTGTAGATTTTTTCAAAATTTTCACGAGTCAAATCTTTTATTCATACCATTACGACTGTTCTAGGCTTTCATCAACTATATTTGCAACAACTGCATTGTAGTTTTAAATTTTTTTCTTCGTGATAAAAGAATCTTCATAGCAATGTTTTCTGATAGACCAAGAATATATCATAATAGGTAAAGTTTCTAAAATAATACTTTGTACATAATTTTTTCTGAAACTTAATTTTCAGTCTGACAACTGATCATAATATTGAAGTACTTTTCTTTTTTCTAGTTCTAAGATATGAACATCTTTTATTACACTCTGATAAAAACTACTGACTTAACTACGAGGCTTATAAAAATAAGGCAAAACAATGACGTTTTGCAGGTAAAAATATGACAAAATCAAAGCAAAATATAAAAAATCTTCCATGAATAGAGAGAATAAATTTCCTGAGAATAAGTTCCTTTGAATTCTCTTGAACAAATTATTTTTTATTTTTCTTCGTTTCAGTTTCCTATTAATAAGAGAAAATATTTTGGAAGATGATTTGGACCTTCCGTCAGTCTAGATTTTTAATTATTAGGACTTATTTAATATAACTTTATTGCCTGCATAATTTTTTAGTCTGAACGAAATAAGTTAATCCTTACCGATACTAATGATATCTCGGTTTTGAATCGGTAGATAATAAGCTACACGTCATGTTTTTATACTACACGTCATGTTTTAATATATATATATATATATATATATATATATATATATATATATATATATATATATATATATATATATATATATATACTACTTTTATATGTATTAATGATATTTCCAATAAAAAATTTTTGGAGCTTTTTTTAACATAGTGAATTGTATGAACACAAATATTAATAAAGCTAGGTTTACGATCAAAATTTTGTAATTGCAACAGAATAGGATTTTTTGTTTTTTCATTTGATAAAAAATCTTAATGAAAAACGATATATACCGCCTTTCTGATTTGAATTTGTGTTGTAGGTAACGTTAACCGGTAGCCCAGATTTCCATTTATTGATATTCACAAACAAAGTATTATGACGTCTCTAGCTGTAGTAACAAAATTTTCTGTTATATCGTTCACATTCATTTGTTTTTAAAATATTGGAGAAATGGAATAGTATATAAATGGAGCAAGGGCTGCCGTTTTATATACGGAATCGTGAAAAACATGTAAAGGCAGTACAAGGTAAATTATCGGGGAAGTATTAAATAAAGTGTCAAATATTAATGGATGATGTAAAAATAATTAATTTAATTTGTCTTTCATTGGATTTTATATGTGTATACAACAGCTATTTAAGTTTTCCAAATGCTAAAAATTAACAATCTTTAGCACCGAAACAATACACTTCAGATTGTATTATATAAGACATGGTTTTTGGAGATTTGAATTTGTTTTTGGAGATTCGAATTTGAATATATTAAAATATTTATACATAATCATAAGATATATTTATCAACATAATTAAATAAATTTTTATTCTAAATTCAACATTTTCATTGATTTGAATTAATATAATTAGATAATAATTTATCATACATAAAGCAGTAAATAATTACGTCTAAAAAAATAACAATCTTAAAAAATATGACTTTTTATTCCATATCAAAACATTTTCCTTGCTAGGAAAATGTTGAAGTTCGTAAAAAGATCGTGGAAAGATAAATTTTCTGCAAAGTCAGTGCGGTTTATTTTCTTAACTTTTATTTACAATATACTAATTAACTTTGTGTTACTTTGTGGAGTCTAGAATTAACGATACTTTCTCATTTCATCATAAAATAAAAAGATTTTTTCACTTCTACATATATAATTAATGAGAATGAAAGAATAATTGTAAGAATATTTTGATTTTGTAACCTCTTGTATGTGAAATAGAATACAAAGTATATGTATTTAAGGAATAAGGTAAAATAAAAATTTCCAAATAGATTAATTAAGACATTAACTACATTTATACTATCAGCTTACAGTTAGGGATAATTATTATTATTTAAGGAGCTTACTGTTTAATTTTCATAAATAATAATTTGCCTTCAACCCATAAGAAAAAATACTCAAACTAATTAGAATTTCGTTGAAACACTTCCTTGTTATCCTGTGAAACAATAGAAATTGACACAAAGTTTTCCTTAAAAAAAATCAAGCCAGCTTATTTACAATATTCACGACTAGAAAATAGGTATACCAATCTTATACCTACCAAGTCTAAGTTCACATGATATTATAATAAGAAGATTTTTATCTAAATTAAACATAAGAGGACTTCTATAAATCTCATGAGGTGAATGCTTTATAAATTCTAATTCTTATGTTTCTTTTTCAGTTATAAAATATTTTTCGGCTAGCAATGAATAAACAAAACAATATTTCCAATCGACGGAAGATTCCTTTATGAAACTATCTATTTATCTATATTCAGATGTGAATTTCACACGATCCTTGAAGCCGGACACGTGTTTCCAACACATGCATTCAGTAAGTAAACCTATTGTTATGAAGGTGGTGGTTTGATCAAACACAAATAATCTACGTCATTGAATTATTATTAGTTATATGTGTACTTAAATAATAAATGAGTTATTCAATTCATCTTAGAATGGATTCTTGCTTGACTAAATTATTTATGTCGTCCCATTATAACAAGAAAACAAATGAACGATAAATTATTTTAACAGAAATATATGTATAAATGAATAAATCAGACTTCAAAGACAAAAAATCTATGTATGTATTAAAACCAGCAAAAATAGTTTGCAAACCAGTTTAATACTCTCGTTTTTTTGCACTACTTATTTATAATCTTGAGAAATAGCATAAGTGTGTGAAAACAGCCCAATCAGGAAAATGGATTTGTTTGGTCGACCCTATCCAATATTGTTTTTCTATTATACTTAATGGTATAGAAAACGAAGAATTAAGGAAAACGATCAGTTACCGTACAATGAAATGTTGTTTCCGTACACATGTAGTTATATCTTAGAAAATATACATAGCCAGCCATTTGTTGATTTGTTTATATCTTTGACATAAACGCGAAAAGTATTAAAGATATTTTTTTCATTAAATTTAATCATTGCATTTTCTAGACCAGGATGATAAAATCTTAACTGACAAAAATGTTAGTTTTGTAAATATATTATTTATTGTGGACAGTATAACGTTTTAACCTTATTTATTTTAAATGAATTTATATATCGGATATAAAATCGAGCTCGGTGATTTTAATTTATTTTAAAAAAAATTGTATGATCATACATATATTCTACCTGTTAAACCCTATTGAAATTAACTCTATTTTTATGACAATTGATATGTAAAAAAAACTATGACAAGATATAAGAAAATATATTTTACTGTAGTCATAAATCTGCTAGTATAAAATTAATTTTTATAATCACAAAAATTCCTTCATAAAATCAAAATTCACTCCTTCTTTTTACTTAGCTTATTCGAAGTCAGGTTTAAATTCATTATTAATGAAAAATAAAATTGTTTAATATTTTTGTAATATTGAACCTTTATTCTTATAAAAATATTCCTATTAATACTTAAGATAAAAAAAAATGTTGTATTGGATTTACAACAATGGTTCTTATACTTTTCGAATCGAGTTTAGCAGAACAAGTGGCAAATTCTTAGGAATAAATCATTTTAAACCCTCAGTTACGAGTACATTCATAAAGATTTTTAAAAACATTTTCAAATATATAAACTATAATATCCTTTTTGGTAAATATAAATTTTATAATGAAAAATGCGCATATGCGCACATTTAGTTTGTATATTTTATATATCAAACTAAACAAACACCAAGATATAACGAAAGCAATCCTCGAAATTCTTATCTTAGATGAGGAAAACAATTCTGTTGTCTAACAGATAACATTGGATGTGTGAATGTTACTAGCTCAGTTATCCGTTAAATTCAATGGAAAGGAAAAAAATTACTGAATATTGCTAGTTGAGCCACTAAAATCGTAATGTGACTCTCTTTTATATGTCTATCCATTGTCTGTCAGGAATAAGAAAATGTACGTTGAAACCCAGTTTACAACACAATAATTATTCTGAAACAAAATTGAATAGAATTAGCAGACAGAAGCATAGATACGTGTAGGTAACGATTAAAATATTCTGTCCCCCACTGCTAATTCAATTCTT